TAAAAAGCATTTGGGCACTTTACTACTTATTTGTTACTATTTAAGTAAACATATATCCTTATCTATAACGAAATATGTAAATAAATTTATGTACGTGGAGGCCGCCCCCCCGCGGGGGGAGAGAGAGAGAGAGAGAACAGATGAAGTAGAAAGCAGTTTTTGAAAGACAGTTTGTCTAGGAGTCACAAAGACTGGATCCTAGTTTTGTCACAGATTTCTTTGGACGAGAATAAACAATTTAATGTCACCACTTCAGTGTTCCCAAGTATAAAAGACAGCAATAAAAACTATCTCATAGGATATTTAAGCATTATCCATTGGCTTCACTGAAACATAAGCACAACACTAAATGCTCTGCAGTGCTATTTTTAACATCCATGCCAAAAGAGTAACTTCATTTTTCTTGTACAGTTACTTCCAATCAATGTCTTGGGAGCACTAAGTATATATAAATAAAATGTCTTATTAAAATCTGTAACCTATTGATTACATAAAGGTCATCTCTAGGAGAGGTTAGTTTTAGACCTTTTCAATCATTTATCTTATCTTTCCTGGCTGAAATTTTGACAGGTTTAAGTCCTAGAGTTTTCTTCTTGCTTTATAGCTGTTTATGATTGAGCGAAATAATTTAACACTTTTAAAATAAAGAAAGAATATGTTTCAAAAGACAGTATCCATAGCACTTACTTAGAAAGTATAAATTCTAAGGGATCAGTGCCTGGAAAAACAAAATTTTCAGTACTGTTCTATTTCTTCTGGTGGTATCTGATCCTTCTTCATTAAATACTTTATTTTGAGAGACCTTAAAGACTAGATTAGAGCACTGACATCTTTAAACACACTGTTAACCCACAGTGTGCACTTACCATTAGAATTTGCCTTAGTTTAAAGCCGGGCTTCACCAACATGTGGTTATATGAAGTATGGCTGTCAATTCCCCTGTTGCTGTGGAGGCCCCTAAGAGACTAAAGCTCTGCAAATATTAGAATAGCCAGGCAAGAAAGGCATTTTGAAAACACCTAGCACATCATAGCTGCTGCGCTTTGTCTCTAGATCATGGCATTCCCTGAGGCCACAGAGCCTAAGCATGTCTCAGCTTTCATCATCCCATAACAAATTCCACAGAAGTTAGCAGTGACCATTCTCAGAGTGGCAGTGGCTGGTGCAGCCATTTGAATGGATGCATCCCCTTAATGACACTAGCATTTCCATAAGAATGTTTTAGTATGCACAGTGGTGAGGTTGACTGATTTCAAGAATTGCAGTTGAGTATATCAGCTAGGAAGGGTTTTAAGCACCCCTGGCTAACAAACATTGCGTTTAAAATAGAGTGCATTCATTGCAGCTTTCTGTTGGTCCTCTTCATACAAGAGACGTTTAGAACAGCTTGTGGAGAGGCCAGTCTCTCTGAGAAGGAAAGGGCAGCATGTCAAGGGCAGCAGACCTCCCCTGCAGTCACACTCCTTACTGTGCTGCAAATGAAGGGGCTTCATGCATCATGGTGACTGCCTGGGACTGTGTCTGTGCAGCTGGCCTGTGCCACACACCTGCCCACTCCTCCTCCCATAGCAGAAAAGGAACTGCTAGAAAAAGTCCCTTGGAGCCACCTCCAGAAAGTGCCAGGATTTTGTGTAGCTAAAGAGAACAGAAACTACCCTCACAATACCTCCACTTCCTGTGGGAATACACCGACATTTCAGGGCTTGAATAGAGGTTTCTGGCCAAGTTACGGGCACCAGATTATTTCCCACGAATAACTTTATATCCCTCAGGACTAATATGCCTGGTGTGGGGGCAAAGCCCAACTTCATCAGTCTCTCTCCGCAAGATCATACAGTTACAATGAGAACAAGAGACACCAAGTGTATAAGACAAACTAATAAGGGACATAGCTCCCAGTGTCATAAGCAACAGTCATATATAAAGCCTCGAACACAAGCTAATACAGACAAACCAGCATTCACAGAGATGTGACATACCATTAAGATGTATGGTTTAATAATAACTCCAATATATACTGTTGTGCTAAAATGGGTTTGTATATGAAATCATCCTGACTTGATAACATCATTAAATTGAGAGTGATTCTTTCATCCAGGAGTATCCTAGCTACTTGTGACTATGTGACTACTTGAAATATTCTGAAGTGGTTCTGTGGGCACAGACAGATATATTTCATAGAAATATGTACTTCTCTTTTGCAGGTAGATTATTCCATAATAGCATCACAAGCTGGAGCCACCCTCAACAACCTTATGAGCCACGCACAAGAACTAGTAGCAAAGCTTCGTACCCTGCAGTTTGATCTACGAGAATTTGTATGTCTCAAATTCCTGGTGCTGTTTAGTTTAGGTAAGTAAATTCTACTTTTCATGCTTACATTATTCCTTACTTATTACTGCTGCATTGTTTCTTTTTTCCCTAAAAGTGCTGAAAATATTTTGCTTTTATTATTGTTTCCTGAAAAACAAATATGATTTCAAAATATATTTTATGAGGTCCACAGTAAACAGATGATCATCTTTTAATTATAACTTGCAGGACAATTAAATGGAAAGATTAAAAGTGGGGTTTTGATTGAAGTGGTTTCTAAAACCTACAGAATTTAGTAGAGTATTACAAGCTGACTCTACATACTCTGAATATTCCTGAACAAAGATAACATTTTATTATAAATTCCAGAGAACAGAGGAAAATATAGATTGGTATATTTTTATGATATTTGTTTATAAAAAACAGATGATTTGGAGATATGATTAAAATATTCTTTTTAAAGGAACTTCAGGTAAGTATAAACAGTCTTGTTTGCATATGGTTGTCACACTGTAACACATAAATCAGGAAGATAACTCATGGTCTTTAAAAAGTGAAAGGAACTCTTGAAGCACAGATTAATGATAATAGCTTTATGACAAATCTAGGTAGGAAATAAGCTTTAAAGGGAAGATTGTTTTGCACTAGCAGAGAGGACGCAGAGGAAAGATACCTGTGCAAGACAAATTAGTTAAACCAGTGCCCTTCAATGAATCAGTCAAGAAAAATCACCAACGCCAGGAATAAAAAAAGGACTTAGGGGGATGGATTCCTATTGACTTCATGGGAACAGATGTTTCTCTTGTCTTCTGTTTCAGGTTTGCACACTGTTGACTTAATAGAACTGGTCTAAATAAACTTTGGCTAAGTGAATTTCTTATTTACAGTTATTTTTTATTTACAAGCAGTTGAAAAGAGAGACTTAAAAACTTAAATAAGGTCAGATCCAGCAATTTCTCCATAGCCAAAATTATGGTTTTACTCAGAAGTTGTTTGCCTACAAAGAGAGTGAACAGTCGAGCCAAGCACAACAATGAAAGAAATACCAGCAGTACTGACATTTAATGATCTTTTTCTTTAATTATCCTTTTTTTTTAAAGCTTCTCTGTGAAGGAATAAAATTCTACAAACAAATTATTAAAATACAAAAATACAATTGCAGATAAACAAAGAGAAGTAAGACAATTTTGCATACACTGTGAAAACTCAATTACTCTCTGAAATATGTCCTGTGTGGTATTTATAGTGTTTGAATCTGTTATGGAAAGTTTAGATGAAGTTCTCTCAAAATACAAATCGCATTTTTCTCTGATTTGCGCTACAATAAAAAGAGCTACTTCTCCTGCTAATGGAAGCCTTGCAGTCATATTGCTTCTTTATAGAAACAATGTAGCAAAAAGAGTCAGCACTTTCCCAACTATTAATTCACTAGTTAGTGCATTGCATAACTCAATTAGATAAAAGTCAAAATTAGATGTTATTCTGTAAATAGTAAAATACTACGATGTTGCCACTTGACCCAAAGAGCTAAGGCATATATTTGTAGAGAACGATGATAAAACTGAAATAAAAAACACACATAACTTTTCCAGCTAACTATGTTAGTTTATGCCCAAAAGTATGAATGAGTTGTCTGGATGAAGTTGAGTGAAGTTGAGGTTTTTTAAGACACTAAAGTACCCTGCAATGCTGGTAAGCATTCAGCAGAGTTGTAAAAACTAGCTAAGCAGCAAATTCAGTGGAAAAAATTGGGAGTAATTATTGTATCTAAGTACTGAGATGCATTCAATGCATATCTTTGTTTCTTAAGGTATCTTAACAGAAAACTGAACTTAATACTGAAAATACATTATTAATCAAAACAATATTTCAAGAGTCTGAGCTGACTTTCATTGAAAATCTGACTCTGTAACGTTTAATGGAATAAGAAGCATATCAAGAAATACCAACCTTTCTCATTTCTGAGGATGTCCCCTCCATGGTGTAAATATATACTATTATACTCTTGCTTCCGTGCACAGACTCAATAATCCACAACATTCATTTACTGAGAAGAAACCATTTGGCTTTTTATAATCACAGTTACAAAGCTACCTTGAAAAGCTGTCTGTTATTCTTGACTATACCTTATTGTCTGTATCTTTGTAGGACGGCCATCTCCTTGAGGGCAAAAAACACCGTCTCTTTTTTTTCCCCTAATGTATCAGAAGTGACAGTAAACATTTCAGAAGGCTTAGTAAACTAACAGTAAAATAACATTCAAAACTCATAGCGTATACAAAAAATTTTAAAATTACAATTTAATCGTATCAGTTGCTTGCTAGTGTTTAAATGAGAGAGGTAAATTGTTCATTATACATTTGCCAGAGGTTCCGAAGGATTTACATAAGAAAATGCTTTTGATTGCTGGTAGTGTAAAGATGCTGTGGAAGCTTAGACAGGTGTATATTTATCGCAACCTTAGTAGCCAGCAGTGCACAACTGTTTCTGCAGCCATACGAGTGGCACATCCAGGCACCGGAGATCTACTCCTTTCTCCAGCCACCTGTCCCATCTAAGCAACCTTGCCAAGTACATAATGATACAGCTGAAGAAACCAAAACATTTTGGTACCTTGCGTTTTTAGATGGTGTGCCCTCTCTTTAGTTTAGCCTACCTAGAATTAATACATTTAGAATTAGCTAACTTTTAAATTTCCCCTACTGGTTATAAAAAAAAACACTTTACCTCTCCACACTTAAAAAATTCTCCTTCCACACCAACGTATCTTCATACTTCAGTGACTGTCTGTTCGTCCTCAGTGGCTTCTCTTGCTATCAGTCCACTCACTGCCAAGCCCTGGAGAGGAATAAGAGATACATTCTCCTGTTAATTCCAACAGTGGAAGGGAGGCGAGCTGGTAGACTCCAAATCAAAATTGAAGTGTTACACTCAATTTTTTTCCACAATCTTAAGATATTAAAAAAAAATATTCAGTAGCTCAAGAGAGACATAAATAAAAATTGGATTTTTTTTTTTTTTTTTTTTTTTTTTTTTTACTTAGTTGCATTTGAGAGGCTTCTTTCAAGGAAGGTGAACTAAGCAATTCAACAATAGTCATTGTACAATTGATGGAAACATATTGAGCAGGCACATAGTAATAAACTGGAAAAGAAGAAAGGAATCTTTGAGAGACTTGGGTGTTGAGCCTACTTTTCCCATTTGCTCTGCAGGCTTCACATTTCTTAATTCATGTCCAAAAAACAGAAAGGGCATATGTGAGAAAGCTGATTATCAGATAGGTGTGCAAGTCTTTACCAAACTTCCCAATAAATAGAAATTAACATAACTGTCTTTCTAAAAGCTAGCCAAGTTGTCAATAATGCAATTTCTTTACCCACAGCAATACGACTAATTTTTCCATAGTATATAGCCAATAGTATATAGCCAATATAGTCCACAGTACACATCATCAAAAATTGCTAGCTTAAATCAACATATGTTGCAGACAGGAAAAGCAATTGAGTCTGTTTATCTCTGAATTACCACTAATGAATCTGACGGCAGCTTGGAAACTCCTTTTCTATTGTGACAGAGTTAGAAATTTTTTCTATTTTATTCTATTCATTCTAATTATTTATTTAAACGTTGAATTCTCTAATACTGGGGAAGAAATAGATTGCCATGACTCACTGTAGTGAAATCTTGGCTTCACTAAAGTCAAATAGAATTTCTCACTGATTTTACCAGAGCGAAAATGCGCTTCAATGTTTCTTTAATTTTCCTTCTATCACAAAATAAAGTTCAGATCAACTTTTCAACCACTCAATTTGATTTAAGTGATTTAAAAAAAAAGAAAAAATTGTGAACCAAACAACTGTCTATAATACAGGTTACTTTTTATTATCTTCTGATGTAACAAATCTCTTTTCATTTCACAATTCAGTAACATTACAAACTGTTCAGTTAAACTAAAATCAGCCACTGTTCACTTTTTCCCAAAACTTCCCATTTGTCCTGCTTGTTTTTATTATCTGAACTCAGCAAGGATGATTTGTCAAGCCTTCCATCAAAGCAGTTTATAAAGTGAAATGCCAATAGGAAGAAAGTTAGACATCATTTGACCCATGTCCAAGCACTTGTCTGCCTGGAGCTAAATGCTAGAGTAGGCAGCAACTTACTGGTACTGCTCTCTTATCACTGTCAGGGCACAGATAAATGTACTTCATTTAAGAAATGAAGGTTTTATCAATAGGCAAATAATTGCAGAGCCACTATCGATCTCACATCTCACTTAATGTGAGTCAAGAGGGACCTGTGGACCTGTAGAAATGGTAAACATTTACTTGCTATGGATGGCAAATAAAAGGAAGAAAGGGAGAAAAAAACCCAAAAAACTCAATTTTCAAACAAACCACAGCAGTTACTTAACAGTACAGCAAAGATCCACTCTGACTAGGCAATACTCCATACCCATTTCTTTTGGGTAAGAAGAATATTAGCAAATATTTCCATGCTTTCAGTCTCCCTACAGCTCGAGGGTAGAGATGGGAGGAGAGCAGATTTCAGTACTGGGCTCCACTGCAGGCAATTTTGGAAAAAAAACCCTTCCTGTTAGGATCTTCACGTAGATTAAACACAGTGAATGAGAAGCTTCCTGTGAACACACAGGAGTAGTTGCACAGAGCCTGCCTGTGCTTAGTTTCATTTTGCACCATTAAATCAAATCAGCACAGTTATAAAAAACCCTGGAGCTGGAAAAAAAAAAACAACAAACTTAAATCAGCTATTGCACTTTCTAGTATATTTTATATAACATCGTTGGTCTATCAGATGTACAGACTTCCCCTTCCATGGCTCCTCCTATTGATGGTTTAATTTGCAGTCTGATGTATGCAGATCAAAAATTTAGTGTATAAGCATCAACTGGAAGTAAAATAACAAGGGATACTGATTACGTGTTGGTGGTATTGATGACACTTAGGGGCACAGAAACAAAATGAACGACAAAGAAATAAAGGAGTTATTAAGGCAGAAGGTTTTGTCAGACCAGAATGGGCCTACAAAATGAAATAGGAAATACAAATGAAGAATTATACATGAAAGAATTCATGCAGGGTTATAGACCTTTAAACATAATGGCACAACTTAAGACATTTTTGCATATTTTGATTTTTTTTGCAGCCTGCCTAATAATCCCACTATACTTTCAACAGCTGCAGATGTGCCTTTTACACTTTCTAGTTAAAGAAATTGCACCAACTTTTCAAAGCTCAGTCCAGAAAAAAATGGGAACATAACTAAAAAAAGAGAATTAGTCAAAATATCTTCTTCTATTCTCCCATCACTTGCAAATTTTGGTATCAGAACTAAATAAATTAAGTTAGGAGGTGATCAGCTCAAAACGCAACCACATATTCTTCAAGACAGCAGATATAGAGAATGCTGTAGCTTTTGTGCTAAGAGTCACTCAGAGAAATTACTGGAAAGAAAATCCACCGAAAACTATGAAATACAGAGGACTGTTAGTTCTGTTTGTAACCTCTAGCAGCTGGAACATCAGCAGCTGCTGTTGGTAGGGATCATTCCATGTTTTCTTCTTACACTGTTCCCTAGGACATCTGTTCCTGGTTACTGTCAAAGATCGGATCACGATTTAGATGAGCCATAGTGCCATAGTATGGCTATTCTCATGCTCTTACAAGATAAGCGTAAGTCATTTATAAATTTCAGGGTCAAAGATTTCCCTTCTGTAAACTGGCCTACTATTTCTTCAGCAAGATAACAAAAATTACCAGAAAACAATACTTTATTTTCAGTAGCACTTTCAGTGCAAGATCTGAAGTGGGTGCTCTGAACATGCAAAGTGTACCATAACAAAGGCTGCCCTGACAAGCCAGTACAAGTCCATGGTGGAGCACTCATCCAGGAACAGAATGGTACTCACTGAGTCTCTTCTTAATTCCTCTAACAGAAAACACTTAAATCTTGAAGAGTGTCTTAAAGCCCCGAGACAGCTCTGAAGCCAAAATGCTCACTTTACCAGTTTACTCTTTTCATAGTTTGTAAATATACAAATGTTTTCACAATCAATTGCATACATATGTAATCAACAGCATGTACTTATAGTTGTGTCATTATTATGAGATGGTTTTATTAAATCCATTGCCAGTTTTTTAATATTCATCCAAAGTTCACTGAAGCGTACTTCTAAGACAGTACCTGGCGAACAGGCAGTCAAGGTGTTCTGTACAATCAGCATTCAGCCACATCCTTCAAGCTCCCCCACATCACATCTGAATTCAGAAAAATAGTTTCCGCACACTTATTAAATTCAGGCTCATATCACAGAATCACAGAATCACAGAATGGCCTGGGTTGGAAGGGACCTCAAGGATCATGAATCTCCAACTCCCCTGCCACATGCAGGGCCAAATCCTAATATATCCTACTATATCCTATCATATCTATCTACAATAGTATATGAGGATAATGTTGGCAAAGAAACTTTTTCCTAAATTTTATGTAATCATTTGGAATTAAGGAAGGATAAATTAGTATTCAGGAGATGTGACTTCAATATTTATGCCATTGAGATTTGGCAGAAGCAAATAATGGTACATAAAGCTGATGCTTGTCTTAATTAAATGCAGTGTAATAGGTGTTGAGGCTTTTTTTTCCCCTTAGTGAAGAGAGCAGTTTAGCAATGACCAGATATAACTCATTCTGAAGTTCAAAGTTTAAAATTAATCAATATGTATTTATAACAAGGGAGGGACTGAATGTAATTTATTGCTAGCTGAAAACTGGCTAATAGATAAAGACGAGATTTATTTTAGTACATTTTTCCACATACTAGTTTCTGACAAAATATTTGCTCTCTTTGATTCTTAATTATTTTTTGCTGTACTAACAGTATTTCAAATAGAAGACTTATTGAAGGAATTCCCCAGCCACAGAAAGGCTGGAAGAGACACCAGAGAACTTAAAATGAGACATCTATCAAGGAGGATCCTTTCACTGTGAAAAGCTCATTGTTCAAAGTAAAACTCTTAGTAGTATAACATTTCCTAATTTTCTGGTGAGGGATTCTTAACAGTCTATATTCCTTTAAAGTTTGTGATGCACATTTGCAATGATAGCTAGGTTTTAACTGGAACAGAATATTAAGTTGAGAGGCACAATTCCAACACATCTACAGCCCAGGGTCACTTTTCTTAAATGTCACAGTAAAAGCTTTGAGAGTGAATATGAAGTAGGTAGATCAAGAGTGCTGGGGAGAGCTCCAATTCAGCATGAGTCAGAGTGGAGAAAGCAGAAAGGCACTTAGCCTGGAAAGGGTGCGGGTGAGACAGGGATGGCATTGTAGGGCAAGCCAGAGGCAGGAAGTGACCTCATGATGCTGGTTGGTTGATGATAAATATGGAAGGAACAGCTACAGGACCTTGACAGTGAATACAGTGAATACAATTTTTGTCTGATGTAGCAGAGGAAAAGGGAGGATGCAAAGATAGCAAAGCAGTGAGATTGGAAGGGAGTCTTGAAAATGGTGTTTCCCAAGATCAAAGGAAGAAACGTTGTGGTAACTGAGACATAATACGATGAGGCTAATGCTATTTGTTAAGAATTAAACCCAGCAAACAATGGCTTCTGTTCATAGTCCATGGAAGTCTATAAAAACACATTTACAGATTCAGCTATGTTATATTAGTTTGGGATTAATTATATTAGAAATAGGCCTACTTAAAGGTCAACATTACTGTCTTTTGGGTGATCTCATCTATAGATAAAATGGAGGCTCTGTTTCTAGAAATCAAGATGAACAATTATTTAGATTACTTTGACATAACTGGATTGAAAATTATAGACTTAATGTACAAACCATCTAAATGGAGATATTCGACTTGAATTGAACAAAATGATGAAGGAGATATTGATGACGACTATAAAGGTCCTTTCTTGTATCCACATCAGCGAAAGCAAATTTCATAGGCAAGAAGTTCAAATTCATCATGAGTCTTGCAATTTCACTGTTTTTACAAGCTCTACCCAATCTTCCAAGTTATAATGCAATTCTATATGGACTCTCACTGCTGTATGTCCCACGTTAATGACAGAAACTAAGGATGACTGTTTCATTAGAGATTATGTGGGTCAGTAGAACAGTTAAATATCCAGTCTAGCCCTGAAACATTTAATTTGTCTCTGATTTTTTGGTAAAGCAGCCTGTCCTCCTTTCTATTCTGCAAGTAGAAGAGCTATTCCACTTTTCTACTTTAATCCTCTGGGAAAGAATGAAAGAGAATAAACAAAGATCATTTTAGGATCAGCTCATGAAGGACTTACTCCGTTCACAGAGCCAGCATATGGAAATACAGAAATCAATCCTCTTGTTTACGGTTGTTTCTGACTCCATTACAGACTATAGAGCTCAGAAGAATTTTATATGATATCTGAGTTACTTTATCTGGTAAATGAATACTAGAGATATCTTTGTAAAAAGTGGTGAAATACAGAGATACTATGTAAGATACAACCTAATGAAAACAGCTTTGTTTAAATAAGCTAAAGACCAAAGGCAATAGTTAAATCAACCTGATTTAAAGTACATAGAATACATTTTGAGCAAGTTTGATATTTTCCTTTGGAAATAACATTACAGGAGTTCCTTGCTCTATTTTCATGCTAGCATCTGAAACTGCAAAAACAATATTTTCAGAAGTGAATTGTAGCATTGTGTACAACATGCAGGACAAAGTGGATTTCCCTTTGCTGTGTTCTTTTATTTCTTTGTTTTTACTGAATTCTTTAGAGAAACAAAAGCAAAGACATCTTCCCTTCTCTTTATCTACCAAAATCTGTAGCACAGTTGAACAATTAAAAATCAGTCCCTGAAAGTTCTTAGAGACGCTAAATGATGATGAATGGAGTGAAGACTCTGATAAACAGACCTTTGCTCCTGAGAACACTTTTTCATGGAGCTGACAGGTTTTAGTTCAGCCTCCCATGCAGGTTTCAAACATAGCGCAGGAAGGATGAAAGAAGTCACGGCAGCAGCTATATTGCAGATATCTTTCTTGATGAAATGTCTGGTCAATTATTCTTGTGAATAAAATACAGATTACATATATATAGATAAATAGTGGGGTTATTTATTTGAGTTATGAACTAAACCAGTATTTATTAAATATAAGTTTTCAGTAATTCTTCTCAGCCTTGGATGCCAAAGTCATAAATGATAAACTTCTTGCAGAATTTTCAGATAGCATCCTATTTTGTGGTTGATCAAAGTTTTTATTTGCTTGTTTTTCTATAAATTACATTAAATTACAGATAAAATTTAATCACTTCTGATTTATCCTGATTTTATTTCACAAAATGTAATGAATATGATCATTACTGGTTTATATTATCTGGTTGTCTGCCAGTTGCAAGCCACGGAAAAAAAGATTTGAGCAAGTGCATTTCCTTTTCCTTTTTTTTTTTTTTTTAAATAAATAAAATGCATATATTAGAAGGTTTTGAAATAACAAAAGCATTAGATGCTTGAGAGAAAATTAGGTCATTTATTTGTTAAATACAAATCTCACAAGTAATTAGAAACATGAGTATCAAGCAGTATTTGCATTCTGTGCAGCTGCCTTTCTGTGCAGACAGTGAGGATTTCAGAATAACCCAATTGGTGTGCACTTTTACACTTTGTAATATGTCCACAGAATACTAGCAAGAATGGCTCAAACAGTTCCTACAAGTAGGAAAAATCACTTGCAAATAACTCAGAAGCACACTCGTGTCCGCTTTGGAAATATTTTTGGAATTTCTGTCCCACCTTCAATACACATTGTGGATGTTTAAGATACAAGCTTGAATGTATTTTACATGGAACAAATATATTGTTATATAAAATTTTTAGCTGGTATTGGCATAAGCACTTAATATCAGTGATTACTTTTGTTAGACAAGGCTCCCAGAGTCACTTACTGAGTATATTTAAATGTGAGAATATTTAAATATCTAAATAAACAAATGAATATTTAATTTAAATATATATTTTCCATTTGGACATATACTTAAATGCTTCTCTGAAGGAGGAACATGCTAAAGGAATGCAATGGCAAAATTCACTTGACTGTTTCTGTAACAGACCACTTATTAAATACTTTCTATACCACAAGGTACAGCCCACAGATTAGGAACTGCTTCTCACTTATTTCTATTGCAGAGACTCTTACCTGAAAGGCTGTTTGCTACTGTCAGCCATTCATTGGAGACACATTCACTGGAGACACACGTGCCCCACTCCCCTGTTCTTCTCTTATCCCTTTGATGCTTATGACAGCTTAGACACTGGAAGGGAAGGGAAACAAAAGCAGTGGTTGTCTATAACTGAGGAAAAAAGACCCAAAACACTGCAAAGAAACACTGAAAAATAGGTTTGGGAAAAAATACACAGAAGCCAGGAGAAGGAAAGAATTGCAAAAGTGGTGGGAGAAGAGCAGTAGAGAATAAGATATTGAGCAGAACAAGAACCAAGAAGGGGGAAAAAGACAGGAAGGAAAGAGAAACCATGGAACTGTGATCAAAGCCAAGTGAGAGAGGGAGAGGGAGGAAACAGTGGCAAACAGGAAAGAAACAAACTTTACAGGTCAGCCTTGAACACAGCTGTGATCATGAATTGGGATCAGAAGGGGACTGTGCAGAAACACTAATTCCCAAGCTCACAGCTTGGAGCACGTCCCACTGACTTATGTTGGCAGGAAATGGGAGTGAAAACTGCAGCTCCTCAGGCTCTTGCAAAGCCACTACTGAGGCTGGATGAACTTCATAGAGCACAGGTTCTCCCTGTTACTCTGAGCTTTTGCAGAGCCATCAAGAATGGGGCAAACTGAAAAATATAACATAAGCCTAAAAACAGTCTACATGGCTTCCAAAAGTTTAGTCTGCACACAGCTATTTTTTTAAGAAAATTTTAAGTATTCACTATATAAGATTATTCAAGAATTAATAAAGAAAATCTTACATTTAGAATCATCCCCAGTAGATGAACATTTTAAATATATTGTACAAGGCATCTGCTTGCCAGGTGAAGGCAATTCTCAGGAAGGAGATGAATTTCAGCATCAGAACAGGGAATTACACTACAACAGTATCTTTCCCCTCTGCCAACAGCAAAGATTGTAAGAGATCAGCAAACTGCTCAGGATGAGACAGACAATGTTATCCTGTCATCCAGTGGGGAAAATCCATATCCCAGAACAGAACATCTGAGGCAGACTGTTCTTCATGCTCAGCCTGAGGCAGGCTGAATGGGTAGGTTGAGAAAGTCATTTCCTTTTGTCTACGAGCATCTCTCCAGGGAAACGTTTGGTGCCAGAGAATGGAGAAACTGGCAAGGTTGAAAAGGACAGGTATCATACTCACATTCTCTAAAGAAGTGCTGGAAAACAGTACGGCACACTGAAAGTGTTCCTTCAGAGAGGAACATTGCCAAGAGTCTACTGCAGGACCAGCGTCCTCTCAACTGCCCACTGTGTTCCAGCTGGCCAGCTCACTTCTACTTGTCATTCTTCCTCCCTTTCTGTTTTAAGAGAGGAAAGTAAGAGCCCATAATTAATTAAAACCATAGAAAAATATCAGAGTTGATCCAGGGAGTAAGGAGAGAACAGAGCAATTAAGAACTTTCCTGCTAAACCCTCAGTGGGCACACTGTAAAGTTTTGAGTGTGCTGTGCCCCCTCAAAAACATGGCAGACAGAAGCAGGCACTAAAAAGAGCTTTCAATTACTTACATGCCTTTGGCGCCCTTTCAGGATGCTGTGGAGCTGGAAATGGCTGTGGTAAAGTTATTTTCTCTGAGTTTGCCTTTCATGACAGAACAGCTCCAATATTTTGATCTCAAGAATAATCAGGTCTTTTGTGTTTCCTTTTCAACTAACTGCAGACTTTTGCAAGTTAAAAATTAATGACAACTTCTCTTCCTTTTTTTTTTTTTTTTTTTTTTAAACATAATCTTTTTGTGCTTCCCTGAAAATAAAACAATCTTTTTCCTACAACCTCTAACTGCTAATCTAAACTGCATTCAAACCATTCTTTTGCCCTCCTTCTGTGGTAAGGCACAAAATGAATTCCACCACAACAAAACAACTTGCCTCGTGGAAACCATTATTCTGAAGATGAAGCATTGTGTGGTGTCCTTTACCACTATTACGGGCAGTCAGTCTGTTAGAACGTATTGGGCGATTATAAGCCAGCCTTTTCAGAGAAAGCCATGGGTTTCAAGTTAGCAGTAACCATCTATCAATTCCTGAGATTATGCCATGATTTACTGTCACAGCATCATGTATTCTCTGATTTTCTGCCTGCTATGAAACATTGTGCTTTCCTTTTCTATTGATGTATCAACTATAATAGTTACAAGCAGCTACAGAAAAATCAATAGCCAACTTTCATTACTGAGCACATAAAGAGTACCATGCTGTGAGAGCACCTAGTTGTTAAATAGTCACCAGCAGTAAGGTACACTATAAATGTCTGTTATTTTGGTCTACATGAAGAATGTCTGAATTTGAAGCATCAAATAGCTAGGATTTCTGACATCACTGGATTCCATGTCAAATTTTTTGAGTATGTGATTTTTTATCTGAGCGTCAGCCTTGATTTGTCTTTTCTGTGCTGGGATCTCTAGCTGACCCAGGAAATTAATATAAAAATAACATATAGCTGGGCTATCCTTCACTGGAAGCTCGTTATGTTTGGTTGAACAGAAGTGGTAAGAATTGTGTTAATGTTTATTGAACTAGACTGTATCAAGTAAATTGATTATGGTGAGTGGGCCAACAATGTCTGTGTTAATCTCACAAACAGAGCAGAGATTAAAAGCCATGCTACCCTATGGCTACAGGATCAGAGGTGCTCCTTGGACTATACACTAAAAAAAAACTTTTCAACACATGGTTGGGGGGGAAGGGGGAGCATAATTTTTGGTATAATATGTTTATTTGCCAGTGGAAACACAGAGCTTCAATTAGTGAATGTAAACCAGGAATGCCAAGAACAAAAGTAAATGCTAACAAGCATTGCTCTGAGCATGTTCAGGCCATTGCTGTCCTCAAGCACAGAGCTCCTGCAGGGCAGGCTCTGCTGCAGAAGTCAGTGATTACCTTGGCTCCTGGAGACTGTGCTGATTTACAGCTATGAATGCAGTGTTTGTTGCTGAATATCTTAGTTTGAAAGCCTGTGTATTGCCATGAAACTCAAACATGAGGATGCACATGGGTACTTACATGAATTGCACCCCATGAAATGTACATCCATCATCTATCACGGCCACAAGATTAGAAGAAAGCCATGTTTATTGCCCTGGACAAAACTTTTAGTAAAATTAACCTTTAAGAAAAGAAATCCAAATCAGTACTTCAAAAAATGCAAAAGCATCACAGAAATCTTGTAATAAAAAATCAAAAATAGAATAGAAATCTCATTCCCAATGGCAATTTAGTCCTGCCCATCCAGAAATACCTCCAGGTGGTGAACACCCTGCTTTGCATAGCATAGGGAGGCTGAGCTACAACTGTCCTCAACAGTGAGTGTCAATTTAGGTTGTGGTGAATCTGAAACTCAAAATCCTTCCAAAGGGTGAGGAGGGAAGACAAAATCCACAACCTAAACAAATAAAGCACCACGAGACTCAAACAAGAAGCATTACAGAGTGCCGTATAGCTGCAGACATTTTTGTTTGGGCTTCCTTTCATAAACCTCTTCCATAACACAGCACATACGTATCACAGGACAAAATGAGATCTGTAACTTTCCCTCAGACCAATAGGCAACAACAGAGACAGAAGCGTTCCTTTATTCCACCAGTGCTAGAGATTGGAAGAGCCTTGCCCTGGGGCCTGGGCTTTGCTGCCACTCAGCCAGGAGCCCAGCACTTGGTGCACTACAGCTGGGCAAGCACACAGGCTGCTGTGGTCAGGCCTGGTAATAATATGATCACTGATACAAACATATGAGGAAAGCCAAACTCGTCAACACATTTCACCTAAGCCTGCAGATTCTTTATCAACACTAATTTGATGTGGAATTGAAACAGTACCTCACAGACAACAGCTTAAATGTACCAAATTGTGGCTTGCTGTTACACTTACACAGTAAATAGCTGTAAATGTCAACAGTGAATTCTAGCTCTTCTAAGTAGAAAATTCAAGTGTTTGGTTAAGAGAAGTCTGTAGTTCTACTGTAGTTGTGCCATAGGGCTTTCAGCAGTGAGCAAGTAAATGAATGATGTTTTGCATCAGATTGTTTCAAAATAAGACAATAAAACACTGGTTATTTTACTGATTTTTTTTTTTCTTTCTTTTTTTAAATCAAAGTTTGGAAAAAAAGAAAGGATAACTGTACCACACCGATCCTTGTCTCAAATAAGGCACAGGACTTAATGTTTAAACTGTTTGTTGATTACACTGACAGAGTGTTGTGGTATAGTTCTGTATCCCCTAGAGCAGAACAGCACTAAAACGCCTTTGCTTTTCCTCTTTTAAAGAAAAGACATTGTAATAGCTTCCACTCCTGTGGGATTCTGGAAATAAACAGAAGGAAAAATTCACCAAGTAGTAAAAAAGTGGTATGAAGTTCTGCTCCTACCTAGAAACCACTATAATAATATAATTGGCTGGCCTAATATTTTTAATCAAGTTCAAAAAAGTTTGAAATATAATAATTAAATGCAAATACAGTCGTGATCCCAAAGACCAGAAGAATGCCTTTAAGCTAGTATTTATAACAAGAACTATTCGACTGAGCTGTCTTGTAAATTTTATCATACCTGAGGCAGTTTTCCTCAGTCGATTAGCTGAAAAGCTGAATATATCCTGAGGCAAACCAGACATCTAGTACAGGCTAAATTCAACTACTGGAGCTTAAATTTGGCTTAATATATCCCCACTTGGATCTGCCTGTTTAATTCTCTTTCATATGATAACGTTGGTTTATTCATAGTCTGGACTTGCCACCTGAACAAACTGTACCTCATATCTTATTCTAATGGAATAAGAAAACTTTGCAAAAACCACAAAAGTTCCTCACTGAAAATCAAATGCAAATTTGGGATTAAAAACTGTTTTGTAAAGTGACTACAAGATTAGTACAGAGAGATTTTTCCCCCAAGGAGCACTGCTTTTTATGATCATGCATTTTTTATACTCTGTAGAGACAGATGGGCTTTATAAAAGGATAGAGCCTGCTACTCAAAAGGGTTTCAGTGGCAGCTGCACTTCTGTGCTTTAACCTCAGTAGAAATGTATATAGGGTATTTTTCCAGAAAATATTTATACTACTTCTTTTAGGACTACATTCCCTTTTCGTGTAGTTCCAGTGACAGCAGCAGAAATACCTCTGATATTATTCTGGTCCATTATTCCTATTTTAAGCAGTACTTGAGTAACAGAAAAGAGGAACAGGGAGGAAAAGGATAGATAACATCTAAACTTCTCGTGACTGCAGAATACAAATCTAATAATTCAGAAAAGTTGAAAACATCTAAGCAAAAGCAGAGCAAACTTTTCTAAAAGGACGTGAATTTCTAAATTTACATTCTTTTTTGTTTCTGCACACTCAGTGGCTTCCCATCCAAACAGCAGACTGCTCCTTGCTCCTCTTTCCATTGCACTGCACAGCCGTTTATTGCAAGTTGCATACAACACCCTTTCTGCCTCAGTTCATAACTTCAAGGCTTTTGTATGATGTCCCTATCACCATTCACAGGAACTTCATAAATATTTATGACATTTTAAACCATTCACGCCCTACAAATTGTAGATACTGACAGCCAATTTCTTTAAAATATCAACAATCCAGTACTGTTCATGCGTTACTGAAGATTGAAGTGATGTTTCAGAAATTAAGTTGGGAAACCACTTGGTTCATTAAATTTACTGTTTACTCTTATTTTGTTAACTCTTATAATAATTCTACTTTTCTTGTTTTCTCAAATGTAATTCTTTTTCTCTGGTCACTGTGTGATATAAAACTAATGGTAGGGCTGTAGGTCTGCCCACATTCAAATATGCATATACTGAAGCCTGTTGATATCATGACATTTACTTTCTTAGCTGTTTTCCTTAGCTGTGCTTATTCCAACTGAATATTTGAAAGACAATCATTTCTAGCTCAGGCATACACTAAGGAGCTGGGAATAGGTGAGGAGTTTGGAAAAATTAGTCTTAAGTGATGTTCTTTCTTAGTTTATCCATGAGATCTTCCCTAAATTGTTTCAGCCCCAGCTTATCAACACATGCCTGCATACAAATACAACCACGGCTACATAGGACAGAGCTATAGAACTTGTCCCTGAAAAAGAGACTTGGGTTGAGTCATTTTTTTTCTAAGACTGATCTGCAGGTTAACTGAAAGAGTCACCCTATCAAAAACACAAACAATCCTGAAAGCAGGAACCAGAAAGCCATGTTGGACCAGGCAGCTGTTTCACCATGTCTCACCACCAGCTTGCAACAAGACTTTTAATTTGGGCTTAAAC